TGTGGTGGAACTGGAGCGAGACAGCATGTCTGCAGGGCCCCGGCCGCCCAGCGCCACACAGGAAAGGGCTTTTTCTCCAGAGCTGCCTAAAATGAACACACACCCACACACACGCAAATACTTACACAACATACAAAACACACACTGATAGAGACACATGTGAACAATAGAGGCCCCCCATCCTGAACCAAGGCCTGGACATGACTCTGCTGTAACTCCAGGGACTCATCTCACATCAAGTCAAAGAACAGACTGTCCTGTCTGGGAGACAGCTACAAAGGCACGAGGTTACTAGAGGTGAGAATATTAGAAGAGTCAGCCCTGTGGAACATTTGGAATATGAAGCCGCAAAGCCAGTTGGTGATCATCACAATATTGTAAGACATCCCGATCAAAAATCACCTCAATATTTTGTCAGGAATGTATACCTACTTGAAGCTTTACCTTATATCAACTGCATGACAGAGGAGAACACAATTTAGAGCTGGTGAGCTCTGACAGAAGGTTTCCTGTTTCTGTTCCAAAATGTTGGCACATTTTACATAATATCATAGGTCGCAAATGTGCAGGCTGGCCGACTGAGCCTGGTCAAAAGTGTCATGTTATTAGTTTAGTACTAAAGCCATGCTACCGGTGTGGCCATGCCGGTCGGTCAGTCGGTTGGACCACTTGGCTCCAGGCTGAAATATAAATATGAAACTGTTTTTATAGATATTCATGTTCTCCAGAGGATGTATTGTAATGACTTTGATCCCCCGCCACCAGCAGCTTTACAGTCTCAATAACTGTGACAGCACTTTGAGGAATGTGCCAGACACGCTTTAGTTGGAGTACGTATGTTCTGCCAGCCTTGTTTTTAGTTTCAGTTGATTTGTCAGTTACAGGCGCCGACGTCTCTTTCCTCCATCCAAACAGAGTATTGTTTGGATGGAGTGGGGGACCAACAGTGCTCAGTCAGAGGAATGTGATGTTCTTCTTTACAATGGGTCTCTTGTGCCAGTCTGTGATGAAAGCTAATAAGATGGGTCTGCACACAGTGTTTGTCTAACACAGCTTTGAAGTTGGTCCTAACAGCATCAAGTATAATGAAAGAATGGGAGAGCATGACCAGATTTCAGGGGAAAGAATTTAATCTTGCAACCAGACCACATGGAAACTCTTCCTTTTCTTTGGAACAACAGCGCCATACATACCATTTATAGAAATGTTTTCCACTCAATATTCCGTAGTCATCACTGGCATCCAGTTTGTCACAACGACAAGCAGCCGCAGCAACAGGAAGGATCTCTGTCGCAAACCGCATTGTTGCCCAGAGCAGCCATGACGGATGAAGTGTCAGGGTGCCCCCTGTGGGTGCCGTACTGATGGCAGCAGTCACCTCCGAAGCAGCCCACTGACGCAAAACACAATGCGAGGACAAGTATGCACAATGCACTGACTCATTCCACAAAAACAATAAAGAAATTCCTCAGACTGTCCAGCTCTGCTCCGTAGAAAATGACATCTGCACAAAGACAATCAGAAAATGCAAATGTACCAAATTCCAGGAATCCTTCTTTTGTTGTGATGAATGCGTTTCAGTCGGTTTTCTTTTATATTTCAATCATGAGCTAATCCGGATGATGCCACTAAACACATGGGGCTCCTGTAGGAAGAGCTGTGAGTCAGACAGGCCGGCGCTTCAAACAGACAGTCGGTGGCCATTCTTTTCCTGCATTCTTCTTTCGCTCACACTGTTGACCCTCTTCCTGTATGGCTCTTACATCATCATAACCCCTTGACCTTGATCTGTCTGTCCAGCCGACCAGCTGCTTTTGACATGTAGTGGAGAAAATATGTTGGTGCTTGGAGTAAAAATCTCAAACACAATCTACACTATAGGAGTCATTGTCATTGAGGATGAGGGAAAGTGTGCTTGAGGATTATGAAGGTTCTGACTGTGACACACTTTAAAGTCATTCACTGCAACCTTTGATCCTGTCATTCACTTTTGTGTAATGACTGTAATGAGTTAAGCTCTCAAAAGACATGTCTGCAGTAGAAACACTCAACACAGGATAATGTGAAGGAATGTTTTCTTACTGCCTCTAAACAGCAGATTTTCCACTTTCATTGTCTTTCCGTCACTGTATCGCCTAAAGGCACCACTTCTAACCTCTAGCTCCCAAAACACATTTCTGCACCAGACACTCTCACATCTGGATGTGAACAAAAACACAGTATGTATAACTGTCATCACATAGCTGACTTGAAATAGCAGATTTCACTTTTTCATGAAATATTGCAGTTCACTTCCATGTACTTTTGATGAAGAACTGTAGTTCCCATCCTTCTACCGCTTAAAGGCACCGTTTCTCTCTTTCAGCTCCCAAAACACGTATCAGCTCTAATCCAGTTAATGTGAAAACACACAGTAGATATGATTTCCTTCTAGTAACTGCCTCTAGGCAGCAGATCTTTCCAATTGTGTGTACATTTCATGAACAACTGCCATGTTCTTTCATGTCAAGCCTAATCTGCCAATTCTCACTTTAAGCTCCCAAAACAAGTAAAGAAACATGTAGTTGTTGTTGTACAAGATGGAAATACAATTTCCAAAGCGTGCCGTCGAAAAGTGACAGCAAAGGTCAATCTCTCTCTTTTGGATCCCTCTCTGATGCCTTTCTCTGGAAAGGTGCGGCAGTAGGCTTGATTTATAAAGAAAAGTAACAAGCTAAATATAGAATGAAGAGGAGCCTTTTGTTAGTGTGAGACAGGCCAAGTGTTGCAGCCCACACGGTTTCATCAAACAGGACCCTGACTTGTATCCAGGGCTGTTGATTTTACAGCAGGATCTTCCAGCCAAAAGCTGACTAATCCTAAGCCTCCGTGTGTACAGCTCATGCTTAGTTCCTCATCACAGACGTTGGTTTGAACCAGTTTGCACTGGAATCGGGTAGACTGCCACTCCCTGTGCGGTAATCACTGATCCAGCTCCTCTCCAGCTCGCCTTTGTCTTTCTCTTTCTTTATCAAACCCCCACCGGCAGCATGTATGAGAAGAAGAATATTTAACCTTTCAAGCACGCTACATTTCTAATGATGTTAATGTACCCTGTTCCACACACACACCTCCACCCTGTGTCTTCCTCTCTCTCTGGTTACTGTCTGCCACAGTGTCTGTTGACATCAAAGCAGTCACCGTTTGTGAGGCTGATGAAAGGCAGGAAGAGGGTGGGAGAGGACAGCGTCCAGCGCTGCACACGGCTGCCAGCACAGCAAAGGCAAGACAGTGGCCTTGAATATTTAGCTTTTCTCCCTCTTAACAATTAGATAGCCCTGAACGGGAAAAGGGGCCAATAAAAAAAAAAAGAAAAGCCGCCTGGTGTGAGATACACGAGCCAAACACAAAGGGACAGCTGAGAGATAAAAGAGCAGAAATAGATGCATGTTTGACAAACTGTGATAAAGTGGTAAATCAAAAGGTGGGTGGGGGGGGACTGGGACCTTTTGACTTCGGCTGAAGATTATTATTTAAAAAAAAAAAAATCTGGAAAAACATAATAAATTATTGTTTTTCCTTTGAAAATGTAGACATAATTCCTTTAGAGCTAAAATTTCACATATTGGGTAAATACGCTTATTCACTTTGTAGCCGAGAGTGTCTGTGTGTATAATATGTATTAAGATAACACAGGTTAGTTTAGTATACACACTACTTCTTGCTTCTCATCTAACTCTTGGCAAAAACACAAGTGAGGATTTAACTGCCATGAATTTGAAGAGAATACACGCTATTGTTACTTTGCATTATTCTATACCTTTTACTTACATTTGATTTAACCAGTACAATAAAGCCCTTTCCACCTCATCTTTAGAAATGGTCTCTGAGCAACAGTTGAAAGATTTAATTTGAGATCATCTGGGCTACAAGTCATTTGCACCCCAGGGTGACTGATACTGGAGCTTCCCGTGTCTCACACAAAGGTGTCACGCACAACAACCTGCAGGGAACTGGTTTTAGCCGGTAGAGGCAATCAGCATCCACCGTCTGCAGCTAAACCCTCACACACACACCCAGCTAGTGATGAAACATTACGCGCCAACGGTTGTGAAATGCAGCAGTTTTACAACGTAGATGTTTGCAGTGATGAAGGGATCAGTTATGCTCATCTTGGGAGTGAAGAATCAGAGGGAGGGAAGCCTCCACTCGTCTAATGCTACTTAGAAGGGCTCTTATCTGGAGAGCAGGGGGATGATTAAATGGACTCCGGCACAAACATGTTGTGCGGGGAAAGCCGTCCAGCCCCCACCCTCCCAGCCTGAACAGGGCTAAACTGGTTTGCACTGGTCTGATGAGGCACACGCACAATGCTGTGGGGGAAACCCAATGAAGGTTAACCACATTCTCTTTCATGAGGAACTCTGTGCCCTTAAAATGCTCTCTGCTACATCAGATTGCCTGACAACACAGGCAGAAATGTGCTCATCATTATGCCTATTTTATTCATGTTTTTACTTCTCGATTACACGACTCAGCACAATAGCTGTTACACTTCTGTGCAGGGTTTTCATCTCCACCAAATGTCACAGGCATGAACTCAAGACTAACACCATTTATATTGCTGTGTATTGTTTGACCTTAGTGTTTTGTTTATGACTGACAAAAAGGCTGTTGGACAGGTTTCATGTCAAAACATCATGTTGATAAGTCATTTCATTTTGGATCCAAACAAGTCCAGAGTTAGAAAGGTATTTCCACCTTGATGCTGCAAGCCTACACTGCAGTCATTTATTGTCTGAGGGTTCCTGAAGACGGGCTTTTTTTTGTTCTTCCTTTGTTTGCTCTTGCAGTCCATCCTCACAGTTTGCTGCCTCACTGATCCAAAAGGTCAACACCACTGTGATGCACCTATAAGAATTCAGCCTCGGCTTAATCTGCCGTAATAAAAACAGGAGGATCTTAACATGACGCAATCACCTATAATGTCAATGACTTGTGTAATAAGGACAAACAAGGTATCACATATAAACAATTCAATAATTTATTTAGAAAAAATGCACAAAGGAACACATCATGAATGCAAATCATCGTGTGACAATAACACATTAGTGAACACCAACGAGTCCTTTTCATAGAACACAGTGAAGCTGAGAGTCAAGGCATGTGTTCAGGCATTCGTGTGGGCGGATTCTTCGGCACCATAAAAGTCTCAGATTGCAGCTGTGCACTGCCATCGGACGCGGCGACGTGCACCTTGTACACGGGGGCCGCTTCACAGTCAGGCATCCACAGGAACGCATCAATAGAAATCAAGTCTCAGGGAAAGGACGTGCGTGCCCTTCCATGTTCCCGGTCAGTTCCTCCATCCGGGAGGGGGACTCTCCGCTGTCACAGCCGTACCGTCCATGACGCGACAGCCGCTACGTGTTGCCCCCTCTCCGGGAGGCCAGCGGTACTCTCCTCCGCGCCTAACGCTCCTTTTCCATGCGAAAAGGTGGGACCGCATCTCGGCGGTGACCCAGTCATATCGGGAGCGTTTCTTTTCAGATTCGGCTCAGACATGAGCCGACAGAGAGAGACGCGACCAAAAAAATAATAAAGAACTGTTAAAACACAGTCAACGTATCTTGAGCAGCTGCCGGACCATGCCCGCGATCTGGAGGAACTTATCCTTCTTCCGCTGCTTCAGAGCCATCAGGGCCCGGGCCGTCTCCTCCGGGTCCAGCGTGTAGGAGAAGATGCTCCTCACTCTCTCCTCCGCCTTCACGTCGCCCGTTTTCTGGAAGAGCCTCATGACCGCGTCCTGGTTGACGTTCTCGAAGATGTTGGCGACGGCCTTCTTGCGGTGCGCCGTGTCGAACTTGTTGCCGCGGACGGAGGGGCTGACGCGGCGGCACTCGGAGGAGACGTAGGACGACATCTTTGTCTTCGTTTTGTCCAGTTGGGGACTCTGTGTGCTTTTTCTCCGCTCCGATCGTTGCCCCGCAACTCGATACGGAGGAGCTGTTAGGGATGCGCACTCTGCGGCCGGAGCGGCTTAAGGCTTGAGTGAGTCAAGGAGTGAGTGTGCGCCGGAGAGCTGAGCCTCAGAGTATTTATAGGAGCTGTGGGAGGTTCGTTCTGCCGGGACAGCTGTGACATCAGCAGTCTCTGAAGGCAGAACCCCCCCACACCCACACCCATCCAGCTCTCCAAACAGAGCTTTACGCGCGGTAGTCTGACTGATGAAACTGATGTGCAAATAAGCCTTTCTTTCCCTGAAGTAAACAAATAAGCACAAACAGATATTATAGAGCACTGTGATATAATGCGCCATGTCAAATGCACCGGCAATTGCCAGCTGTCACTAAAACATTAGGAGTAATTTCATTTCACTATTGAAAATACAATGTTGAAAAAAAAAGCTCTTCGCTCAACTATAAATCCATAAAAACTCAAGTAAAAGTAGATCTATCACATTGTAAACGCACTGCATTAGGCTACACAAGTGGCATTAAAATGTACTTAAATACCATACAGATACACATGTATTATCAACAAAATGTACTTCAATGATAAACACTTTGTGGAGAAGAAAGACCTTTACTGTAGCCGCTATAGACCTACTGTATATACTCCTGGGTGGTTCAATCCAAGCATCTTAATACACTCATTGAGCATTTTGTTCATGTATAAAGTAGACTGTCCAAATCAGTTGAGTGAAAAAGGACAGTATCTGTGCCTGAATTGTAGCAGAGTGGAAGTATAAAGCATTATAAAGTACTTAGTTACATTCCACAACAGTACAGACATGCACATATCATGTATGATGATATGTCGTATATTTGTATATCACAGGATGTTATTACCAGGGCCCCCAGATGTGCGTAACACCAAAGTGACAATCAAGGCATGCTGTCTCAGCTCATGTGAGTCACTTGTGTCTTTTGGTTTGTTATTGTAGGCACGGAGCAACTTTATAAATCAAGAATAAGATCAATAGAATTGTGAATCTGCTCTCTATTCCTATTCTTTTCCTGTTGGGACATTTACACTGGCTGGAGCGCTAAAGTGTAGAGGTACATGTTATAAACTATGTTATAAATGCTATTTTCAAATAGTGTTTTTGATGTGACATTTACTTTGTAATCAACTTGAGTTTTGAGTTTTTTTGTCATGTAGTGTGTGTTTTTCTACCGTTCCCCAAACTGCTACTGACCTCCCTTTGCCAGTGAGCAGTGCTACAAATAAATGTTTCCCATTCTGGCTTTGACGTAGAAGGTTAGTGAGTTCTGTTTACAAGCGGGGTTGAACCACGGCCCATGCAGTCCAGCTGATCTGTGTTGATAAGGCTGCAAGGCGTTCCCCCTTGAGAGGCGACTCTTCGTGATAAACAAGTGTCAGCCTCATGCTGGTGTAACTCTCATTCCTTCCTAAGAAAAAGAAGCTGACCCTTCTACAAGCGTGACAACAGCTCAGTCCCTTATATGGAAAAAAAAAGTCAAAGTCAGGGTCAATGGCCATAAGTGACGCAGGAAGTGTATCGTTTCCCCCCCCCCAGAAGTCTGCACAATGAAGTCCGTATGCTCGGCATGCGGCATTGGCTGTAAATGCTGAGTGGAGCATTAAAGCAAAGATCCTGGCTGAGTCTGCGGTGAAACAATACCCGGTTCCTCACTGACAGCGTCAGAACAATATGTCGCCACAGATGCCCATCTCTCTTGAGCTGCCATGGCAGATATAACTGGAGAGACACAAAGAAATGAAAGTGTCGGCTGGTGGAAACGGCATATTTATGACCACAAAGTCGCTGCATGATAGATGAGCAACACACATTGAGGCTTCAGCGGGTAGACGAAGACCGGGGCCTTGAGCCGCTGACCCTGTTCTCCAGTCCACACCAAGCATTCATGCTTATCATAACACAAGGGACACGGAATTTACTTCTGTCATCTTCTTTCTTTACCAGTTAGTCACACATAAATAGCTTTACAGCTGTTTGATATGGAGCCTTACATCGATCAGTGAGCCAATGTTTTCTATCAATAATGGAAGTCCTGTTAGACCTATAGTTCATAAGTAATTCACAACAGTTCCCTGAACTGTTTTTTTCACTTAATGCTTTATCTTTATCTATTTTCCTTCGAGCAAGTATTAGGACTGGTGTTCTCAGAAAGTCATAAAACAACAAAACCTGGTACTGCTTTTCAAAATAAATCACATGACAGCAGAATAGCCCTGGGGTCCAAACGACAGTGTCTACCTTGAAAATAGATAAGTGGAGGGTGAATAGCTGTGTCTCATTCTACTGTGTGCTTAAAGGAACAGTTGGAGATCTTGGGAACTATGTTTATTTACTCCCTTGCCTCGAGTTAGATGCCACTCTCTTCTGGGTCAAAATGATGGAAGTTCTGGGTCGCTGGATTGGTTCAGCAACCCCATTTGAGTCCTGTTTTATTGTTTCGGGGGACGGAGGCCAGATATATCACTCAGGCACATGAGTTGACAGGTCTAAGGGTGTTCACCAGTGGAGGAACTGGAGGGCGTGCTAAGCGTATGGCATTATCAGCTGTAACTGCAATATGAGAGCAGCTCTGAGCTAACAAATGTGGCACGCTCACATGCACATACATGCACTAAAGGCTATGTCAACAAAGCAAGGAGAAGCTCTGTTAACAACGCACACAGAGGGAGAGAGACTTCAATCTCTGCTCAGGTCGTCAGCGCTCTACTATATCCTTACAGCAGATGTGCTTGCTGCTATATTCTTGCTCTGCATGTCATACAGTGCTCCCTTGGTATGCCCTCTTTAGGATTATGAGGAACACTGATTCACTTTATGGTAAAGAAATCTACTGGTCCCACTTACCTATTCCAGTTAAACACAATATAAATAATATAAAAAAAGAAACTCTGCGCTGGAGTTATAACGAGGACACAAACAACAGCTGTTACAACATTCAATACCAGTAAACAGAAGCAAATGACTCATGGCATCTTAGTGAGCGACTACATGCACTGCTAATAACGGTGAATACTGAGTCACCGCAGGCTTTGTGGTTGCAGTGAGAGAATGCATGTCTTCATTCATTCAGTATATATCTGACCTACCAGGAATTTGTGGCTGGCAGCAGACACCCAGCATGTCTGTTTGGCAAGCTGTTTGTGTAGCATTAGCACATGAAGGAAAGGTCATTTGGGGAAAATACAGGTCCTGGAGGCACTGTGGGTGTCATGTATTTTAAGAGAATTTGTTGTATTATTAAGGGCATTTTGTGAGAAGGGGGCCCAGTTGAGCCAATTAAAAACCGGACCTTGTAAAATGCCAATTAGGGTCAGATTTCCCAGAAAAAAAGTGCCATAGAATTTCTTACTATGTAAATATCAGACAAAGCTTTAAAAGGTTTAACATACATACAGTGATACAGCTGCCTCAAAAAATATCCTTATTTTGTGTTTTATGAAAATGTGCTAATTAGGGCCCAAGCAACCGACAACGTCAGGCCTGCGAAGGCCCTATTGAAACTGTAGGGGTTATTATTAGGGCCCGAGCAACCGACAACGTCGGGCCTGCGAAGGCCCTATTGAAACTGTAAGGATTATATATATTATTTTTATTTTTGTGGGGATGGAGCTTGTAGGGGTACTTGCCATGCATGAAAACTCACCAATTTTGCACACCTGTCAGGTCTGGTGTAGAAACTCTGCTGCCAAAATTTGCATATTTGTGTGTAAACAAATGGCTCTCTAGCGCCCCCTACAAGTCGGACCGGCGACGCTCCTCGGCCAGTATGTCCGATTTACTTGAAATTCTACACACATGTCCGACTCCGCTAGATCTAAAAGAAAGCCTCTCAAACCCCTAAGCTCCGCCTACTTAGATTTTCCATCATATTGAATTAGGTGTAAAACCCATTTTTGCCAACTCCTCCTACATGCTGGGTCTGATTACTACCACATTTGCTGTGGATCTAGATCATCAAAAGTTATCAAAAGCTTTTAGATATCTATTAGCGTTTACAAGATATGGACCAATAAACTTCTTAGGGGCGTGGCTTAATTCCAATACGCATAACTTCTCAACCGTTTGTCCTAAAATTACCAGACTTTCAGCATATGTGCACATCACATCCTGTAACATACCCTGAGATTTGTATTGCATTCAACAACTAGGGGGCGCTACAGTAAACCCGCGAAGTTGTGCTTTTTGTCACTTTTTACCGATTTCAGCCTTCGTATTTTAACGAACTCCTCCTAGAGAATTTATGCGATCAACTTCTCCTTTGGTCAGGATGCTCTTAAGACCTTTGTGATTAAAAGTTATCAAAATCGAGAGTTTTCATCGAAGAAACTTGACGTGGCGTGGCGGCCATTTTGCCTCATTGTTTATGAAAAAATAAGTTCTTATAACTCCAAGGTACATTATCCAATCCGCACAAAACTTCTTACGCATGATGCTACTTCAAGCTTGAACATATTTCAATTGAAAACATTTCAATAACTCATAGCACTGCCTACTGGCTAAAGGAAATGTCATATTTTATACTTTTCTTTATTCCTCCTAGCCAGGTAACCTGATGAGTCTCAAATTTGGTACGGATAGCCTTAAGACATTGATGATGCATTATCATGAATATTGTGCATTTTCGATTAACGCTGTTGCCGTGGCAACGCATCGTTCGCCATGAAAAAGGAAGCTGATGGTTTAGTGACTTGGCATGCTCAAAAACTCATGGAACTTTGTACATGTGTCATAGGTCATTGGAAGAAATATTCTATATGATTTTTTTAATCGTCCGTTTTAAATAGCCTCTATAGCGCCCCCTACAAGATTTCAAAAAGAGCAGCCCCAGCGCTACGTTTGAGCTACATATATGAAACTTGACAGGCACATGTATCCTATGGAGACTTAAATATAAGTCTCTTGGGACCATGCTCTAAACCCTAGTCGTCCAGTTTCATTTATGTGTCATTTTTCAATCGATTTTCGCCTATTTCTAGTCGCTATACTTTAACGAACTCCTCCTAGGGACTTCATCAGATCCACTTTAAATTTTGTCAGTACCATGTCAAGACCGTTGTGATTAAAAGTCATCAAAAGCTT